CCTTCAGGTGTGTGTGCTGCCAGTCCTGATGTCCGGCTTGTCCATTGTCCTTTCGTGCTGGCTGGGGCTGTCCGGTTTGGCCAATGTCCGCAGCAGAGGGGCAGGGTTGGCACTTGCTGGCATGTAACGTTAGAGGACGTGCAGGAGGATGAGCCCCTGGTGTGGCGGCTGATGTGGTTAGGTCCTGTGAGGGTGTCGCTAGTGTAGATGTGTGGACAGAGTTGACACTGGGTTTGCTGGAGGAGGAGGTCCCCGGGTGAGTGTGTCTGGGGGGTGATGTGTGGGGGCTGGTGGATATTTGCTTCAGGATGGAGGGTGTCTGTAGGCGAGGACTGGCCTGTCTCCCGAGGCCTGTGAGAGGGAGGGAGTGTTCCCAGGAGAGGCTGTAGATTGTCAATGATACGCCGGAGGGGTTTGAGCTGGGGGTTGGGGGCTGTGGGCGATGACCAGCGATGTTCTGTTATTTTCCTTGTCTTGAAGTAGTCGATTTCTGGGTACTTGTCTGGCTCTGTCTGTTTCCTCACTTCCCCAGGGCGGTATTTACGTTTTGAGAACACTCGGTACAGGTCGTACAGGTGCTTGTCTCTGTCTGTGGGGCTGGGGCACATCCAGCAGTGGCCTGTTAACACCTCTGTGGTCGAGGGCCACACTGGCGAGTCAGTGGCTCACCGATTGCAGCAAGAAGCCGAACATTCAGTGTCTTTATGAAGCCTGTGATTTGTGGTGCCCAGCGGCATTGGGAGTGTCCGCTCTCAGGCTCCCTTTTGAAAGCATCTGGCCCATTTCCTTTGAGGATGAGGAGTGAGAGTCGGGGTGGTCACGTGAAACGAGGCTTACAGGATCTGCCGACAAAGGGTTCTGGGGTCGGCAGATCCCCGTCCAGACTGCCGCGCTGTGCTGACAAACAGCTGATCGGCCCAGCGCGGTGGCTATTTTGATTTAAACGAAGTGGTGATTATTTAAATCACAGCTTCATTTCCCTTTGTCGTCCTGCCTCATCGACATGGCTCTGTCGACGGAGCCGTGTAGTCTAGATGTACCCGTGGTGAAAAGGGTTCGTCCGCAAGTGAGGGGGTGGTTTTGTCTTTTCTCGTTTTCCAGCCTGAGTTCATTCACAGGTATGGCGGGGGCACTCGGTGCCCTGGGAGAGCTGTGCCTTGGTGTGGTCGAACCCATGGGTCTCCACAGGTGTGTCGTGTGGGGCGCTGTTCATCGCGCCAGCAGAGCTGTGTCTGCGATGTTGGCATCTGTTGTTCTGACCGGCCCGTGCCTCGTTGTGTGGGTGTGTCTGTGGGACACTCGCTTCCGAAGGACTCGGAAAGGATGGGGCTTGTCTGGAGGCCAGAAGAAGGAATTCAGGAAAGGTTCCTGTCAGGCGCTGGTCCCCACTGCACATGGGGTGTAACTGTTTGATGATGTCCAGTCCCGGTTCCAGTGTGGGGCGGTAGGGAACAGCTAAGGGTGTGTGGAAACCTTTCGTCAAGGTGTGAACAGAGACCTGCCCAGGATGGGCCGTTACGTCCCACACGCGAATTACAACAGATGTTACCTACCGGGCATTTACAGCCCGCTCCATTAGCCTCCTTTAGCACTGACACTCTAACAAGATGGCTATGTCTACACTGGCATGATTTTCTAGAAATGCTTAAAACGGAACAGTTTTCCGTTATAAGTATTTCCGGAAAAAGCGCGTCTACATTGGCAGGATGCTTTTCCGGAAAAGCTCTTTTTGCAGAAAAGCATCCGTGCCAATGTAGACGCGCTTTTCCACAAAAAAGCCCCTATTGTCATTTTCGCGATCGGGGTTTTTTTTTGCGGAAAACACTCCTGTGCTGTCTACACTGGCCCTTTTCCGGAACAGTTTTCCGGAAAAAGGACTTTTGCCCGAACGGGAGCAGCATAGTATTTCCGGAAAAGTGGCTGATTTCTTACAGTAGATCGTCAGTGCTTTTCCGGAAATTCAAGGGGCCAGTGTAGACAGCTGGCAAGTTAGTCTGGAAAAGCAGCTGATTTTCCGGAATAAGTGGCCAGTGTAGACACAGCCGATTAGTTTTCTTTCTTTTCCTACTTCCCCCCTTCTCCTTCCCTCCCCATCCCCGCTCTTTCTCTGCTATTTATTTGAACCCTGGACCTCTTACTCCGTTCATCTGAAGAAGTGGGTTATGCCCACAAAAGCTCATGACACCATCTACGTTTTGTTAGTTTCTAAGGGTAGTTTCTAAGGGTAATGTAGGCATACCGAACGTGCAAATGAAGCCCAGGATTTGAATTTCCCGGGCTTCATTTGCATAAGCGGGGGGACGCCATTTTTAAATCCCCGCTGGTTCGAACCCCGTATAGCGCGGCTACACGGGGCTCGAACTAGGTAGTTCGGACTAGGTTTCCTATTCCGAACTACCGGTACACCTCGTTCCACGAGGGGCTTGTTACACGGGGGAGCCAGAATCCAGCGAGCCAGAGCTCGGTTTGGGTTTCCATGGTGGTGGGGGGCCCGCTGACGGGGGGCTGG